GAGAGGGGAGCCCGCACGATGCGCCCACCGGCAGGCACCGGCTGCCCCACGCCCCCTGACGCGTGCACCTCGACGACGTCTCGACCTGCTCCTCGAGCCCCTCCACGGTCTCGACCTTCTCCTTGAGACCTTAGTGGGCCCTGGAAACCACAGGGCCGTGTTTTTACCGGTTCCGTCCTGCGGTTTGTTGCCGGTTCCGACGCCGTTTTTTTACCGGTTCCGTCGCCGTTTTTTGACCGGTTCCGGCTCTGGTTCCAATCCTGGAGCCGTTTTTTTGCCGTTTCCGGTCGCCGTTTTTTTCCCGTTTCAATTTTCAAGGGACATTTTTTCGGAAACGGCGAAAAAACGGCCCTGCCGTTTCTGGGGCCCACAAAGCTTGAGACCCACCTCGCCCCACTTCAACCACTCCATCACGTTGAAACGCGAGAAAGCCCTCCACATGATGAACGTGGATACCGCCATCGAGCCCAAGCGCTGGCGAGCCCACGCGGAACCGATAAGGTTCGAGGTCAGCTTCGCGCACCACGTCACCACGTGCCTCCGGTATCCCTTCTTCTTGCCATTGACGAGGGCCTTCTTGTGATAGTTTCTCGTGGTCGTCGGTGTTGTCGATGAGTTTCCTGTGCCGATGATTCGATCTGCTGCCTCCACAGCTCGGTTTTTTTCGCTTGCATGCATGCATGCATGCCGGAGAAACAGGCCTTGTCCTCCTTTTTGGGCACGTCCCCGACGTCCACGACTTGGAGTCTCCCCGACGGGTCGATCGCCACCCAGCGCTTCTCCCCGCTCGTCGGCGTGAACTTCGTCACCAGAAGCATGATGGGACCGCTCTTGCCGTCCAGGCGGGGCCTGCAGTATATGCGGCTCCATCGTTCCGCTGGCATCGACGGCGCTTCGCCTGCGCAGGTCTCGGATTCTCCGAGCCCGCCGAGGTTCGGCTCGTCCCAGTACCAGTTCTCGAAGCCGCAGGTAGCGTAGTCCACCCACGAAATGGCAGCCCCCTGGCGCACGAGCGCGGTACTTACCCAGGATGCTAGCGGCGAACCGCGTGATCTTGGCCGTGACGTCGGGTGCGCGCTCGCGCCAGCGAGGGTGCGGAGAGGCATGCCGCTGGCTTAAAGTTAGAGCCAAACAGTCATGATGAACACCTCTCTGCCCTATGCGGTCGGACCGAGGAAAAGGTTGAGGGTCGGTTCGGGGATCGTGTTAATTGGATGTTCTGATTTCTGGATCCTGGGGGAGGTTCGGGTGCTCTTCAGTTTGGCTGGCCGAGTGTCTTGTGTTCGTGGAGGATGCTCTTCTGTCCTAGGTTTGGCCGTATGTTCTGCATCGCTGCCCCACCCCCGCCAGTCCCACCGAGGCCCTGGGGGGAGGGTTCTATCTAATTATATATATATGTGTGTAATGCAGAATCCCAGACAAACCTTGCTGCACTTGGCGCTCCCCGAGTTCACCAACGGTGCTTCTATAGGGACACACGGCCCGATCTACCACGCTCCCGGAGAAAGCCAGCTGGCAAACATGTGTCCGATATCCAGTCTCCAGCTGTCGACGTTCCACATTCCCTCCACAGCGACCACCAGACACGCCCATGACGACTCCGGCGGTCTCCTGGCCCCCCCCGCGCTGCCCTCCCGGGGCCGTTCCGCCAGGCCAACACCGCGCGCGCCTGGGTGCGCCCAGTTGCTGCAGAGGAGGAGGAGGAGGAGGAGGAGGAGGAGGAGGAGGAGGAGGAGGAGGAGGAGGAGGAGGAGGAGGAGGAGGAGGAGGGGGAGGGGGAGGGGGAGGAGGGGGAGGAGGGGGGGCGATGCATGAGGGGGTGGAGAACGGTGGATCTCGTGTGCCCTGATAGGGCCCCCGATAGGGCACCAAAAGGGCACGAAAGGTGCTCGTCCCTCCCCCCGCCCCCGCTCCATCACCCCCCCCCCTCGAGCAACGCCCGAAGCACGCGCAGGACGCGCATCGCTGGTGCATCGGCGATGCGGCTCGATGTGGAGCCCGAGTTCCTCCACGCGGAGGCATCTCCGACGTCGCCGATGCGTCGGCGACGCGGTGCAATTCTCCGGCCCCATCTACTCGGACGCCATCTATGAGGCCTCTGAGGATACTGGTGTGCCTGGCTTCTTCTCGACCTTCCTCACACTAGAGCGCTTCCAAGAGGAGGCCTCCTTCTGCCCAGGCCTCTCAGATGAGGTCGGAGTGAACGGGCCCGAGGATCTCGCCTCATCGCGGATGCGTCGCCGATGCATCGGCGATGCGGTTTTATGCGGAGCCCGACTTTTTCGACGCCGACGTCGCCGACGTATCGCCGACGTCGCCGATGCATCGCCGACGCATCGGCGATGCGGTGCAAATCTCCGAGCCCATTTCACTACTCGGACCCCCTCAAGGAGGTCTCTGAGGGTGAGGCTGCGTGTGGCCTCTTCCCGACCTTCCTCGGACTAGAGTGCTCTCAAAAGGAGGCCCACGCTTGCTTCAGGCGCAGGGTGCCGCTGCGTGTGCCCCGTCCTGGTACTCTCTTGCGCCAGAGTGCATGCAAGAGGAGGCTTGTAGTCTGATCCCTGCTGGAGCGCGCACGAGCGCGATTGCCCTCGAACGTCTGGATTCGGCGTGTCGGCTGCTGGTCCGCAGCACGTCGTGCGCATGTTCGCGACGTGGCAGCCTGCTCTCTCTCTCTCTCTCTCTCACCAGCCTCGCCCTCGCTGTTGAGAACACCTCCGCGTCGCTCACGACGCCTGAAAGATGCTGCCCCTCGTCTCCCCCGCGCCACAGCTCCCTGACGCCCTGCGCAGTGGAATGCGGCGAAGGCTGCGCGCGAGGCGCTCCAGGAGAGTGTCTGCTGACCGGCCAGTGAGTCCAGGATGGCCTGCACTCCGCGACGCCAGCATCGCAGGCAGCACACCTCGATCCCAAGAACTCGATGCGTCGGGGCTGTATCGCGGGTACCCGATGTATCAGCAAGGCGGCAGAGGAATAATGGACCTGGCTGGTCCGCTGGCCTGTCATCGTCGGCCGAGTGTGATGTCGCAGCTCATGTCGCTGTCCAACTCTGTACTGTGCTCGATTGGACGACGCCGCTCGCTGCGACACGAGCTGGCGATGCAGATGTGAGAGCTCCCCCCCCGATCAAGTTCAAACAACTTTGGCCCCCAGCTGGGGCTCAGCCATCGCTGTCAAGTCCTGCGTTTCCAGCTGGCACCACCTACACACACACTTATGCCCTATGTGTGCGTCGGCCTTGCTGGGGCGACGCTCACGGTCAGAAATCTCCGAGTAGATGTTCCGTGGCTGGCGCGTTGTGGCCGTACCGCTCGGGGAACGATAGACTGTAAGAGCTGTGTGCGTTACGTGCTCGTGTCAGACGCGCGCCTCCAACGTGAGCGCACATTGCTCCAGCGTGCTGCATCCCATGCTAGCAAGGGGGCCATCCTTTGCGCCCGCTTCATTTTGAGAAGGAGGAGGCGGAGGAGGAGGCGGAGGAGGAGGAGGCGGAGGAGGAGGAGGAGGAGGAGGAGGAGGAGGAGGAGAGGAGGAGGAGGAGGAGGAGGAGGAGGAGGAGGAGGAGGAGGAGGAGGAGGAGGAGGAGGAGGATGAGGAGGAGAGGAGGAGGAGAGGAGGAGGAGGAGGAGGAGGAGGAGGAGGAGGAGGAGGAAGGAGGAGGAGGAGGAGGAGGAGGAGGAGGAGGAGGAGGAGGAGGAGGAGGAGGAGGGAGGAGGAGGAGGAGGAGGAGGAGGAGGAGGAGGAGGAGGAGGAGGAGGAGGAGGAGGAGGAGGAGGAGGAGGAGGAGGAGGAGGAGAGGAGAGAGGAGGAGGAGGAGGAGGAGGAGGAGGAGGAGGAGGAGGAGGAGGAGGAGGAGGAGGAGGAGGAGGAAGAGGAGGAAGAGGAGGAGGAGGAGGAGGAGGAGGAGGAGGAGGAGGAGGAGGAGGAGGAGGAGGAGGGAGGAGGAGGAGGAGGGAGGAGGAGGAGGAGGAGGAGGAGGAGGAGGAGGAGGAGGAGGAGGAGGAGGAGGAGGAGGAGGAGGAGGAGGAGGAGGAGGAGGAGGAGGAGGAGGAGGAGGAGGAGGAGGAGGAGGAGGAGGAGTGGGGGAGGAGAGGATAGGGAGGGGAAGTGGAAAATGAGACCCTCCTGGGGACCCTGGCGTGGGCTCCGCCGTGGGCCCCCATCCGCCGCCCGGCGACGCTGGGGCCGCGCGCGCTGCTGGCTCCGCCGAACCGCCGCTCAAGGACGGAGATCGACGCCTTCCTGGTCCCGAGCGGGGCCCTCAAAGACCTCTCCCGGCGTGCCCTCGTCGACCTCGTCCGACTGACTTGTCACGACATGGGCTTGCCGACAGTCTTGGCCCGGCTTCTGTGGCTCATGCCGATGCGGCCCCTCCTCCCTGAATCCCTGGAGTGTTCGTAAACTCCCTCACCCACCTTCGGATGCAACTCCTGGGAGGTCAAATTCCGACTTTGCCCTGGTCCGAGATCCGGCTCAATCTTGCTTCATCCGGCTTACTCCCGCTTAATCCAGCTTTATCCGGCTTAAGCCGGGGCCTAATTTGGTGTAGCAGCCCCCCAGTGGGGCTTAATCCTCCTTCATCCTTCCGACGAAGAGAAGACCACCCATCAGTTGCCTCCTCACCCAACCCTCGCCCAGTCTGCGCTCCCTGCGCCGGGGGATGCCGGCGCACTGCGGCGTGCCTCGACAGGTCGCCCTTCCGCCGCGTGGCAGCGCTCGCCCTCTTGTGCTGGTGGAGCCGCCGTCCCCCAGCGCTCCATGAGTCGGGGGCGAACTCCGAACCCTATCCTCGCCGATCAACGATGCATCGGGAACTGGAGCGTTTACTTTACCAGCAGCGGGCTGCTTTTCAACGGTAAGCTTATCTTCAGCAAGAGTCACGCAGCAGGGAGAGCCGCCCTGGCTCAGGCCGGGCCAGGTGTGCGCTCCCTGGTCGAGCTTCGGCACGATGGTGGGGACTCGTGCTCGCGCGGGCGGAGCAGAGGGGGGGCCTTGCTGAGATGCCAGGCGCGAGTGCCGAGGGCGGCGTGCTGGCTCCTTCTCGCCTCGTGCTCTGCGATTTGCCGTCTGGTGCGCTGCACCAGGCCCTCTCGTTCCTCGATGGCGTCGGGCTCGGCCGGTGGGAGACGACCTGCGCGCCACTGGGTGGCCTCGTCGCCGAGGACCTGTGGCGCGGCATCGTGCTCCGCTGCTGGGGCTGGCTGCTGCGCCAGAAGCCGCCCTCGTCGAGCTGGAAGGCGCTCTGCGTGCGGCTGCACACGGGCGCGAGCAGCTGCTTCTGCGTCGTGGGAGCGGGCCCCCGGGCCGGCGCCAGCTGCGCACACGGCCTCTGGCCCCCCGCCGGCGCGGCCGGGCCTGGGGCGCGCGGCCGCTGGGTGCGACTGCCCGCGCCGGCCGAGACCCGGGAGATGGCGGGCGTGGTGCGCAGCGCCGCGGGCAGCGTGGTGGTCGTGGGGGGCACGAGCCCGCGCGTCGACGAGCGGGGCCGGCTGGGCTTCAGGACGCTCGCGAGCGCGGAGAGCTGCACGGACGGCGTGTGGTCGCCGCTCGCGGCGATGAGGGAGCCGCGCTGCTGCTGCTCCGCCGCGCTCGACGCCCGCGGTGGCGTCTTCGTCGTCGGCGGCGGGACCAGCATGTACCGCGGCGCGGCGTGCTTTCGCACCGTTGAGTACCTTCCTTCCCTGGATGGCGTCTGGCAGGAGGCGCCGGCGATGGTCAGCATGCGCTGTGCCGTCGGCGTCGCCATAAGCCACGAGACGAGCCGACTCTTCGCCTTCGGCGGCTACAGCGGCGTGACATACCTCGAGACGTGCGAGGCGCTCGAGCTGCACGGGTCCGCGAGTGCACGCTGGACACTGCTGCCGCCCATGACGTGCAAGCGTGCCGGCTGCAACGCGGCGTGCGGCCCCGACGGCCGCGTGTACGTTTGGCGGCGCGCACAGGGGGGTATGGGGAGGGGGGAAGGCTTCTTAGAAGCACCCCTGCTTCTTAGAAGGCGCGGGCCTTGTCCACAAATGCAAGGCCGGCGTCTTCTAAGAAGCGGCCTCCTGCTAAGAGGCCTCCCCCCCCCCTACCCCCCTCTGCGCGCCGCCACGACGTGGTCGGCGGCGGGCCCGACGGCAAGGGGGAGTGGGACACCATGGAGGTGCTGGACGTGCGCACCAGCGCGTGGCAGCTCTCCCGCTCGAGGCTCCGGTGGGGGCGCCACTACAACGCGGCGGCGTTTGGGCCCGACGGCCTGCTCTACGTGTCGGGCGCGTTCCGGCACACGGGCCAGCTGGACGTGGTCGAGCGGTACGACCCACGCATCGACAGGTGGGAGGAGCTCTCGCCGATTGGGACCGTGGTGAATTTCTCAGCGGGCACCTTCGTGTTCTGACCTCTGGACTTCCCGGGTGTCCTCCTCTCGTGCATTGTTTCGCCTCATTGTCCTCCTTTTCCCAGTGGCAGTTGTTTGCGGCAGGCTCAAAGGTTTCACAGTTAGTTGCCTGGTCGAGATGCAGTGCTGCAAAGAGTGTTCTGGCTTCTTGTCCTGATAGTGCGTGTGCGACTATTGGTTGGCGATCTCTCTATCTCTCTCTGTCTCTCCCTCAGACCATCCCGCCACCGTGCCTAAAGTGTGGGTATGAAGCCAATTGGATGTTCGTTGGGATCTCGTGGGAGGCCTCTCGGGGGCCTCTTGGAGGCAGTTTGGGCGCCTCTTGGGGGCCGTTGTAGGGCGGCCTCTTGGGGCCTCTTTTGGGCCCCTTGGGCGCCTCTTGTGGCCTCTTGGGCGCCTCCTGGGGACCTCGTGGGGCCTCCTGTGCGTTTCTTGGGTCCTCCTCATGCCCGGTTATTCAGTCTGGCGCGTCGTACCTCCACCAAGAAGCCCCGTCCTTTTTGCCCCGTCCTCCCCCGTCGCTGTCGACGGCGGGCCAAGCATCAAAGGCCCAAGGCGACGCCTGACCCGGCGAATCGAGCGGGATTGTGCGTGAGAGCGGGTGAGAGTCCGGATGGAAGGTGTGGCGCAAACGCGCCTACCACCTGCAGATGTGTTGGAGCTCTTCTTGCCTCCAGGCCCACCCCCCCCAAGCCCAACCGGGATGCCCAAACGCGCCCTGAACGGCCCGAAAATTTCGATCCACGGTCTCTCCGACGACGATTTTTGTCAGACGATCTCCGACGATCTCCAACGACGACGACGACGAAAGGTACATCAGCTCTGCGCCACGTCGCAGCCTGACCCCCCCCATTTTCGGATGCAACCCCTGGCAGGTCGAAGTCTGATTTTGCCCAAGTCCGAAGTCCGGTTTTGTCCGGCCTGATCCGGCTTACTCCCGCTTGATCCACTTGGATCCAGCTTGATCCCGCTTGATCCGAGACCCACTCCAGCGCAACAGCCCCACAGTCGGGCTTAATCCTCTTTGGCCCTTCGGACGAAGACCTCCCAGCAGTTGCCTCGTAACCCCCTCCCCGCCCGGGCGCGCCGCCCCCCGCGGCCGAGGCGTGGAGGAGGGCAGCCCCTGGGCGCAGAGGGGCCACGGCCCCGCGCTGCGGAGGCCCGCGGCCGTGCCTGCCCCCCCCAGCGCCCCCTTTCCTCCCTGCCATCCTCCCTCCTCCTCCTCCTCCTCCTCCTCCTCCTCCTCCTCCTTCTCCTCTTCTTTTTCCTCCTCCCCTTTTTCCTCCTCCTATTTTTCCTCCTCCTCCTTCTCCTCTTCCTCCTCTTCTCCCGTCCTCCTCCTCCTCCTCCTCCGCCCTCCTCCTCCTCCTCTTCGTCCTCCTCCTCCTCCTCCACCTCCTCCTCCTCCTCCTCCTCCTCCTCCTCTTCGACTTATTACAAAGACGTTCGCAATGCATTCCCTAGCCAAAAACATTCCGCCCTGGATTACATGGTCTCTGAGATTGCTAACGATTTGGACCGGCAGCTCCTGCGACAACGTCATCGCCGTGCGTGCATGCATGCCGAAGCCCACGATGGTGCACTGGACATTTGCCCTGGCTCTGGCGCTTTACCTGGCGATACGATTGCGGCTGACGAGTTCATCGAATTGCATCACCCTGCCATTGACAGCTCGATTGCCCACACACCAACGCCTTCACGGTGATGCTCTCGTGGTCTGGGAACCGGTCTGCCAGCAGTACGTTGATCTCGCCACTACAACGTACGCCGACGTCCTCGCACAGAAAACTGTGTTCGATACCCTCCCGATGTTGGTGGACGAAACGGAACTCCGCAATGAAGCCCTTGACCTGGTCTTGCAGACCAACGGCGTCGAGCAGAACCGGGACAAAGAAGAGCGTGTGGTATTTTGGAGTGGCCGTGGTGCTCATAGTGTTCTTCGCGACTGCTATCATGGACGCACCGCCCTACCTGGTAAAGTTGCTCCTCAAGCCAAGTATCTTGGAGGTAAGTCGCACTACACTGGTTCGACCCGTCCTGAACGTCTCCGTCGCGTACAAGCTGCTCGTGAAGCCTGGAATGCATTTCAAGGATACTGGTCGTCACCCGTGTCGTTCCGCTCGAGTCGTACAGTTTTTCGCGGCCAAGTCGTGGAGACTCTCTGGTCTGGCATGGACGCTTATGTGCTATCAAAGCCTGATTTTCACGATTTCGACACCCTCATTCTCAATTTGGCCCGCAAGCTTATGCGAGGAAAAGCGTGCACGAAGGTGGAGCAAGCTGACGGCACCATCAAGTACAAGGCATTGCCAAATCAAGATGTTTGGCGAGCGCTTCGATTCGCTGATACCAAGACGGAGCTTCGAATACGACGTCTTAAATTCTGGAAGCGGGTGCTTTCGGATCCTTCGGATCACGTCTCCTATATTGCTGCCTTGTTTTCGCCTTTGGGTTGCGAGTCCAAGAGCCCGTTGGGAGACGATGGGCGACCTCGTGCGAATGCTCATCCTTGGTTCCAGCAGTTCATGGACGATCTGGACAGCTTACGTGACCATGATAGCACAGCTTTCATTGCTGAGGAATGTGATCGGCGACCTTTCCGATTGTTTCAAGAGCCTCTGCGTGTCGTTCAGCAGCGTGCGTGTTGCTCGCCGACATGTTGCTCGAGCAGTGCAGGTATCCAAGTGTAGTGGGTATCGCAACGTTTCGCCGATCGATTCCGCAGTACCCGTCGACCTGTCGTGTCCCTGTTGCGAGTTCGAAGCCAAGTCATTGGACGAGTACCACAGGCATTGTACCAATCACCTTGCTGGGCCTTTCATTGACGTTCCTGACTGATGATTCGCAAGGTTGCCTAGCTGCGATTACTCTTCATGTCCATCCTCATCATTGGTATCATACCGACGCCGCCGGCGCCGCCATTACGACACCGACGCCGCCGTTGCGACACCGACGCCGCCGCGCCGCCGCCGTTACGACACTGACACCGCCGACGCCGCCGTTACGACACCGCCGCCGCCGTTCACGATACCGACGCCGCCGTTACGACGCCGCCGCCGTTACGACACCGACGCTGCCGTTACGACGATCTCGTCCTTTTTGTCCGGGAGTGCGATCGTGGCATCGTTTCTGCAGGTGCGAGGTGGGTCAAACTCGCGCCTTTCTTGGTATGCTGTCCATTCTCCGACATCCCCGTGCCGGGATGGACTCCTGGCAGCTCGGCGCCGCTGGCGAGGGAGCCCCTGCCGTGGGCGCAAAGCGTCGCGCCGTGGCAGTGGGGGGCAATCCGCACTTGAAGAACAGCGAGAAGCTCTTGCTACTCGTTGCGAAGCTTGGCTTGAAGAACGCCCAGGACATGCGCGCAGTTCAAGCCACTCTGTTCAAGACGATCATGCTCAAGCGCGACAACGTGGTCGCAGAAGCTGCCTTGAAGGCCTTGAAGGCTCACACCGACAGCGCCAAAGAGATGCAGCCTGAGCACCCTCCAGCTGTGTACATGTGGGCAGCTATCACCCGTGCGGCGGCCACCGTCGAGGGCCTCGAAGAGGCCCACAACAACGCGATCATCAACCACCGCCAGCAGGTGACGGACCCGGGGCAGCTGAAGGACATCATATACCACGCGAAGACGGCCAGGACGCTCGACAATAATAAGGTCAAGCTTCATCTCGCTGCGCACGCTTCCGTGGAGCCTGTGGTCAAAGGCAACTTGCGGGCTGGTCAACTCTCCGGTGGCCGCCAGATGCACGGGCAGGCGCCGAAAGGGGGCCTCGAGAGGGACATCCAGCGCTTGTTCGAGCAGCTGGGAGCGATGGTAGCCGACGACGAGTGAATCCTGGAAGGGGCAGTACGTGAGTTGCGTGCTTCGCCAGTCGGTCCCTGGGTCTTCTCGCTGTGCGCCGTGCCGCCTTTCAAGTTCTACGATACTTACTTTTTCAAGGCGGGGCACCTGTGAGAGGGCCGTCGGGGGCCCTCCCGTTCACTCGGTGGGGAGGGGCAGCTCGCATTGCCGCGAGGTGAACGGCGGGGGCAGAGCTCTGCTTAGGATCCAAGTCGATATTGTAATCGTGATGCGGGCATTGGGAGGTCCTTCAGGCAGTCGGTAACCGTAACCTCCTCCTCCTCCTCCTCCTCCTCTTCCTCCCTCCTCCGCTTCTCCCTCCTCCTCCTCCTCCTCCTCCTCGTCGTCTTCCTCTTCCCTCCTCCTCCTCCTCCTCCTCCTCCTCCTCCTCCTCCTCCCTCCCCTCCTCCCCCCTCCTCCTCTCCCTCCTCCTCCTCCTCCTCCTTTTTTCCCCCTCTTCCTCCTCCTCCTCCGTCCTTGTCCTCCTCCTCCTCCTCCTCCTCCTCCTCCTCGTCCTCCTCCGTTTCCTCCTCCTCCCCCTCCTCCTCCTCCTCCTCCTCGTCCTCCTCCTCCTCCTCCCAGTCAGGCAATCTGGGTTCGGAACGTCCTTTCTGGTAGCCCTGAGTCCAGCACAGCACCTCGACGTGGTGTTTGAGTGGCACTTTGCGCCAGCGATTGATGAACAATTCGCCAGTGCAGTGGTTAAGGCGTGCGAGTACTCATGCCCGCTCATCTCAGCAAATGGAGCACGCGTCAGAAGTGCAAAGCGTGGGACTGCAATGAGAACATATCGCCGCTCGCCAAGGCCGATGTAGCAAATGTTGCGCCTCGGTCGAGATGCACAAGACCAATGGCAAGGGCGACAAGGGATATCATAAAGACAAGTGGCGCCAGGACGGCAGTGTTCTGCAGCAGTCGGGCATCTCGCCAGCTGGAGGTGGAGGAGGCAAGGAGATGCGGTTGAAGTGGCGCCTCATAATCTCCTTCGCGGCGGGAGTGGCGCCTCAGCAGGTCGCCGCCGCTGCCGCACAGGCGCAGGCAGCCCCGACAGTCTCAGCGAAAGAGTTGTTCAAGCGCGCGTGGGGTGCGTGGCGAGATGCTAGCCTGAAGCACGAGCAGGCTGCATCCATGGTATTGAAGTGTTGGGAGGACCATGTCAAAGCAGAGGAGCGCGAGCAGAGTGCAGCTGTCGCCCTTGCAGAAGCCGAGCAGGTTCGCAAGGCAGCGGCGAAGGCCTTGTCGCAGCAGGTGTCGGGCACAGTGGAATGCGAGCCCCCGGCCAACGAGTCCAAGAGGGCCAACGGCGCAGTCTACGACCTGCAATGGGACGAGACACTGTTCGCCGAGATCACCGGCTTCGAAGGGGTCGAGCATGGCGAGAAGGACGAGCTGATCACTATCGCGGAGAAGTTGAAGGGCCACGAGTCGAAGTTCGCGGGGCGGGGCACGGTGATCAAGGAACGCCTGAAGAAGGCGCGGTAGTTCCATAACCAGGTCGCCGACAGGCTCGCCAAAGAACCCGAGAAGCTGGCCGAAGGCCAAGCAACAGCAGCAACTCCACAGCAGACTTCGGCAGCGGCGCAGGCCTCGCCAGCAGGCCATGCCGCGGCCAGCGCCGCGAACCCCGCGGCCCAAGTGGCCGAGGCGGCTGCGCCAACCGTTCCTGCCGCAGGTGCCAAGGCCACGGCCGAGGCCTCGTCGGCGCGCGAGTTCGCTGAGATGCAGGCGCAGCTCGCCGAGGCCGAGGCGCGGGGAGCAGCGGCAGGAGCAGGCGCCAAGGCCAGCGGGGCCGTGGGCGCGGCCACGGCGCGAGACTCCAGGATGGGGGCCAGAGGCTACCGCGACCTCGACGAGCTGTGCATCTATGCCCCGCAGGGATGGGCATTGTTTTTAGTGCCCCAGTCGCTTTGCAGTTGGATGAGCTCATATCAGAAGGGGTCCACATGCCCCACTTCTAGGCCTGGCTGTTCGGCTGCGACCACGGCGACGACATCGCGGCCCTGTGGCTCGGGGGGGGGGGGGGGGCGCAGGTTTCGCCCCCGTTTCGGCGTCGCCGACAGCTGCAGGATCGCGGGCGCGCACCTCCGCGCAGGCCGCGCGGGCAGGGGCGTCAGCTACAGCGCCCGGAGCGGGCGAGCTGGCGCATGGCTGCGCTGGCGCGGGGGAGGCGCGCTCTTTGGTCTTCGCCGACGTCATTGCCGTGGTTGACGCGGCGTGGAACTACCCGGCAGCACATCGGCACGTTCGTCAAATTGTTGTTTTTCTTTTGCGGAGACCCGCGTTCGCAGCGACGCTCTTGCGAAGTGTCGCGGTGAGCCTCGTGAGTTGGGCATGGGGCTCGTCGCGAACCTTGCCGGGCCAACGGGCAACGCAGCGGCGGGCTCGTTGCGAGCGCACCATGCCAACGGGGGGGGGGCGGGAGGGGGGGCGGGGGGGGGGGCGGGGGTCTGTCGACGGCAGGTCATCGGGGCGCACGCCCGCTAGCAGAGGGGCTGCAAGCAGGCTCGCAGGCGAAGCCACGCACTGCCTGCGACGGTGTTGTAGCATCGCCCGCCCGCTTTCACGGCTTCAGAATTGTCCCGATTATCTCTCGCGGCTTCCTAGGCGTTGACTTGTTGGAGGCCAATTAGAGCAGGCATCCTCGCTACTGGCCCTTCGTCAGTTCGCTTCGCCCCCCATCTCTGATCGCGGGGGACTTGCGCGTGCCGGGGCATGCGTTGGCGAGGCCAGATTTCTTGCGCAGTGTAGGTGGAGCAGTCGTCGCAGGCTCCGTCGCCACCAGCTGCAGCGCCAGCGCGGCAGGACCAATCAGCGGTTATGTTGCTGCGGGTGAAAGTTGTTTCCCCTGCGTTGTCGCGCTGGGACCTGAGCACGAGGTGCCCTAAGACCCATGTAGGCCTTGAGCTGGCCCTCGGTGCCCCAGGCGATCGGATGTTGCGCAGGGCAGTGGAGGTCCCCGCAAACCTCCCGCGAGGTTGCGGGCCTGGCTCGCCCCCCGCCCCTGGGCCCAACGCGCCCATGGCCGAGGGGCGAGCGCAACTAGCTAAGCGCGAAACCAGACAGCGTAATATTGAACTACATGAAGCTCTGTTCCAGGAAGCAAGCCTTGAAGCAAGCCGAGCCAGCGTCCAAGAGTCGGCGCCCGCGGCGTCAGGGGCCGCTTCAGTTTCGCGGGCAGGAGGTTTAAAGCCAGGCCCCGACGACATTTTAAAGCCTGAGGAGGATTGAGAGGACCTGTGGGCTGATGAATAATGCTTTCAGCCTGAGGTGCCTGAGGGCCCCGCGGCCCCCATCCCTGCCCCTTCGCCCCCCCCCCCCCCCCTCGGGCCTCCTGGCCTCGCATCAAACATAGCGCCGATAGCATCCGCGATCGTCCACCCCCGGCGCGAGGGCAGAGTTTAATCGCCGCGCCCGAAGCCGCGGCTGGTCAGGGGCGCGACCCAGAGTTTCATTCCGAGGGGTACTTGGATTTGGCATCGTCAGCAGATCGGGGGTTGCAAGCAAACCCTCGGCGATGTGCGGCAGCCCGTCCGTCAGTCCGTAGCTTTCCCGGCTGGTGGTTCAAACGCGATAGGGGCATCATCGCCATTCGCTTGCTGGGCAACGGCAGTGAAGAAAACCATCTTGTGCCACCGCAGTGGCCAGAGCGACGACAGGGGCATTTAGTCCCGCGGCCGCGCAGCAGGCCCAGCACTATCACTCAGGCACGCGCAATTTAGTCCCGCGGCCGCGGTGCAGGCCCAGCACTATCATTATGATATGCGTGGCCCCCTCCAGCTGGGAAAATGATAACTCCCCACAACATCTCCCAGGGAGTCTCAAAACAGTTGTTTCCCACGTTTCCGACGCAGCCCCAAAACAGTTTTTAAAATATCAAAAACAATGCTCGCTCGTATCAATTCGATAATGCGGAAAACATAATAGTTCTAACGTTTTGCTGGGTCTGCCTCGGGTCCGCAGCGCATCGTCCCCCAAGAACCTCAGCGCGCGCTGAGTGCGATGTGTAGTTTGGCGGGGTTCAGTCCCTTTCCCCACAGGTGCGATGCGAGGTTCCGCATGGTTCAACCTAGGCCCTTTCAGGCCCCCCCCCCCGTGCCCTTTGGGCAGGACACGCGCCGACTCGACGTCCGCCTTGCTCTGTTTTGAATAGGGGGTTGGGTAATGAGCGAGGGGGGAGACAAAATATGGTCGGGGGCTGGGCGGGGGTGAGCGGGGGGGGGGCACATGACACATGACAGAAAGGAAGGGCTGTGATGAGCGGGTGCAAGCGCCCTTTGCCCCCCCCCCCCCTTGCCAAGGATTCAGGACGCCACCCCCCCCCCCCCCCCCGTCGCCAACGGCAGCAGCGCCGCCGCCATCGTCATCGCCACGCGCTGCCGTTTTGGATCGCACATGTCTCGGCAAGGCTTTGGCACTTCGTGTTATTTTTTTGCGGCAAGACCGCGATGGAGGACGGCTGGGGCGATGTGCTCGCCGAGGTCGCGGGTGAGCCTCACCCGCCGCCCCGCGGCCCCGCGGGCGCCGCGGCCAGAGGGCCGCGCCCCCCGCCCCGCAGGCCCAGTCGGGCAGCCGCGAGGTCGGTCGCGGCGGCGGGCCGCACCAACGCCCTGGCCCTGCCCCTGTCGGAGTCAGTGAGGCTGCCCACCGTGCCGAGACACATCGTCCAATGCACGGGCAGAGGCTCGACAGATCAGTGGCCGCTGCTCCCGTATGTTCGCGCGGCAGCGCTCACGATCGAGCGCCAGAGAGTATCAGACCAAGACGTGCCAGCCAAGCTCAACCGCATGTTGATGGATTCGTCGTCCGAGCTGGCTGGCCGAACCACGTCAAAGGCATCGATCCAGGATTCGATCGGCGTGACCCCTGGGAGCTACACAGAGTACGTGATCGTCTTGGCCAACACCATCGTACATTTCGAGCGGGACCAGAAGCTTGCGCTGGAGTGCTATTTGGCAAATACGGTCCCCAAGGAGAACTTGCTCCACTACGTCGAGGCGGTCAAGTACGACGAGACCCCGATGAAGCTGTCAGTGAACGATTCGTTCCAAGCACGTGGTCGTGGTGCAGTGGGCTCTTCCGATCAGCAGCAGCAGCAGGTGGCCGTGTACCACATGGATCGATCTCGACAGTGGGGGAAGCCGAAGTTAGAGAGAACTGCCATCAAGCTGCTGCAGAGCTCGTCGAGGTTCGGGTACCTTCTGAGGACCAACGCGGGCGAGTACGTCTGCATCGTCGGCGCGCCCATTGCTCCGCTCCAGTGGCTGGATCGGAACGCTGGGGAGTGTCTTCGAGAGGCGGACCAACGTCGCACCACAGCTGTTGGACGGGCTGCTAAGGACTTTGCGTGCAAGACGCGCGTGTCAGTCCTGGACGGCGCTGGCCCGAACGCCCGCTGCGAGGCGCAGGTCGGGGTTGACCGACGAGGCGACGGCTGGGGCAAGATTGGTTTCACATGCTCCATACATTGCCTCGCGAACGTATTCACGCACACCTTCGACCTGACGGGCTCCGACGTGTCTGGCCAGATCAATTTTGCACTTGCCGTCAACGAGGGCTCGGGCTTCTCTTCTTTCTGTCGGATATTCCGTGCTGTGGTTCAACAGCGGATTCGCATCCGCAGGGGGGGGCCCCCACCAGAGGCCACCCCGTACAAGCGGCACTTGCTGTGAATTTCGCTCGCACGGGGGAGTCGACTCATCGAGAAGAAGACAGCTTTGCACCATTTGCCGAACGGGGACTGGAGGGACCGAGAGCACGTCGACATATGGATTCCCGAGGGCATCGACATAGACGAGAGCGAGATCAAGAAGTCGGTGTCGGAGGCTTTGGAGGTCTTCCTCTTGGGAGCTCGATTCACCCGGTGGCCGAGGAGCAGGTGGACGGGGTCCGGCGTTGCCATGGACGAGTTCATCCTACTTGACGGCATTCACGGATTGGGCTCTGCTGTCTGGGCTATCTGGGCGAAAGAGATGGCTCGGGGCTCCAAGAAGAGACCTCGGCTGGGCGATGGCGGGGCTCTGCCAGCTGCTGCCGCTGCGCCTGCCGCCGCCGATGGCGGCGAGGGCGGCGCCGCAGAGGCTGCGGCTGCCAGCGGCGGCGATGGGCAGGGCCATGGAGATTTCAATGCAAAGCGGCTGGAGAATGAGTACCATCGTAGCACCGCTGGAGATTGGATGGACACGTCGCCGCTTGACAGAGTGGTGATCATTCGGCAGGTGCTGGAGCCTTTACGTCGGACGATGGATTGGCACCTCGAGGTCGGCGGCAAGCACTGGGAGATCAAGCAGAGGGGCATGGTTGTCCAGGCTGAGTCCACGGGCGCAGCCAGTTCGACGAGCAGGACGTGGCCGATCGTGGAGGCTGCGCTTGGCACCCCTGCGCGCGTCTTCAAGGCTGCGTGGGGCCCTCTGTTTCGCGAGCACGTGCTGTGGAAGGACCTCGCGCAGCCGTCGGCGATGACTCGGAAGGCGCGCGCCCTCGCGTTCAAGCTTCTTTCGAGGTCTGAGTGCCAGGTTCGGGAGGCGTTCACCCATCGACATAGCTTGCTTCCGACTCGCATCTTCGCCATGATCGTGGACCCAGCCGTTGCGCAGGAAGTGAGTGACCTCCAGGATTGCCGCATGGACAGCTGGACGAAGGACTTCGTGCTGCGACACAAGGACGCGGACGGAGGCATGTCGAACCCAGCTGCGATCGCAGAGTTGAACCTGCTTGCCGCCATGATCGACTTGGACATCAAGGCTATCGAGTCCCGCCACGCCTCGATCCGCAGGCGGCTGATGGTCAGGGGAGTGCAGACCCACTCGGCAACGTTCGCGGAGTCGTCGGCCGAATGGGTGGTTGCCCAAGCTCGTTTATCAGGCAGGGCATTTCGAGCAGTCGGTGAGGGGGGCGCGCCAGCAGGTGGTGGCGATGACGCAGGGGGCCCTGGCGGGCCGCCAGGCGAGGAGGCTACCACCACTGTCAGGGGCACGGTGTCTTCTTGGCATGCTTTCCTGAGGGAGCAATCCCTTGGTCAGACTGGCCGCCAGTGCATCGCCGCCTTGAGCGCTGCGTACCGCGCTTTACCCAGAGCAGAGGTGGCGAGGCTGGCTGCCGTCGCAGCCGCGGCCAATGGGAACCCCGTGCTGCGGATGCACCTGGCAGCGCCTTCGGCCTTCGGTCCCGCGACCTTGCTCGCGCCCAGGCCAAGAGGCGGCGGGAGGCGTCTGAGCAGCAGCTCGTCGCGGAGGCTGTCGTGCCGACCAGCCGCGGGGGGATGACTGACTTGGCAATGCGGCGAGCATCGGCAGACCCCAACGCCACCGTGAACATGGACTCGATGATGCGGGCTGCCCAGTCGCACATGGTGAGCTTGCGCCGCGTGACCAAGACCGAGGAGCGAAAGATGGCCGACGCGATGGAGGCTTGGGAGTCGACTACGGGCGCTGCCCAGTGGGCATCCATGTGCAACAGTTTCAAGGGCGTGGCTGCTTTCCAGGTTATGCGTTCTCCTATGCCCTCGCACATCGGCCAGATGCTGGAGTTCAAGCACCCTACTACTCGACAGCTTCGATCGCTCGCTCGCTGTGGATGTCAGGGCACGGCAGCAACATGAAAGCTTGTCTCGCATCAGACTGGATGGAGAGGCGCAGGGCAATCATACACGACGACTGTGCCCCCGTAGACGTGCCCGTCCAGAAGAAGAAGTACACCTGTGCTCAGATCGGCATGTGCATATGTTGCCCTGAGGCCGATGTCATCAAGAAGTTCCGCAGGCGCTTCTACTCCGAGCTGAAGGGCCTCTGCACCGAGGGGTCGCCCGAGCGGAAGCTCCTGGACGATTCCAGCTTGGTCGTGCGACTGCACGGCATCAAGGCGGCTGTCGTCGATGGCTGGGGCGTTGTGGCAGCTGGCCTCTCTGGCGACGACCCCGACGGCGTGGACGCCTACGTGTGGTGGCACATCGGCTCCCACGAGTTCAGCCCCTACTGCTCCAACTTCAGGCCGCTCGCCTTCGTCGAGCAGGAGGCAGTCGGCGGCCAGGTGGAGGTATTGTTGGAGGAGTCGTTAGCGGAACGGAGACACATTCATCCCACCACGAACGCGCGCGTGCACGCACGCTCGCGCATGCGTTTACGCGCGTGCGCCGCGCGCGCGTAAACGCATGCGCGCTGGCACGCACGCGCGCGCACGCACGCGTGCGCATATTCGTAGGCGCGCGCAAATACGGGCAGATACGCACGCACGCACACGCATGCAGGCACGCAGGCACGGGCACAGGGGACGAGGGAGAAGAGGAGGGTGTGACGAGACAGACCAGGACGACATTGGCGAGGGGAACGCAATGGGGGCTCGTCGGAAAAGGGTCATAGGGATCGATGGGGGGAGGATGATGGGGGATGGGGCGAGAGTGATTCCGTCATTGCTATAGTTACTCCCCCACGAAGGGTGCCACAGAGTCTTTGGTTGATTGGGAGGCGTTCAGTAGCTTGGACCTCACGGCCGATTGGTCGATCAGCTTTTGGGTCATCGACGAGAGTGATCGTGCCGTCGCCCGTTTTCGCCCTGCCGACGTCGTCGTGGTCTCCATGGGCCCCGAGTCCGAGCTGTGGCAGTCAGGGAAGGCTACGAGGCGGGCCTAACTAGGACTGCGCCTCGGCAACGCCGCACGGACAGACGGCGACGACGGAGATCACTTCTCGCGGAGCACGTCGTAGGGAACGGAGGAGGACCTGGATGTGACACCCTCCCTGGACGGAGGGCCGTGGGATGGCGACGACCACCGTGGAGAGGATCGACGTATCGCGCGCAGTGGCGAGGACAGCCCATACTTGAATGCAAATGTTTCGCAGCATCGCCTATCTAAGGTGGGGCAGGCCTCTACATTCGTAACACTTCTTAGGCTCTAGTTAGGTACCGGTGTGGAAAGTGTCAAACTGCAACGCTTTCAAACAAAAGCCACCAATTCAAGCAAAACGTTCTAAAAAGAAACAATCGGCTACAGTCTCCGTAACCCCCCCCCACAGCACACAAACCAAGCCCCGTATTAGGTTCCGACACGCCACCGAAACGGCCCTACACGTCCCCAAGAGCGGGAGGTGACGAGGAGGTTTTACGACAGGGGGTTAGGGAGGGGGCGGTGGAAGGCAGGCAGGATGTGAAGCAATCCCTGGTAAGATGAACAGATGCACATTACGGAGGAGGAAGATGATGTGAAGAGGCGGAAGCAACACGAGGAACATATGTATGCCTCTTGGGGGTCATCTTGGAGCCGTGTCGGGCCGTCTCGGCAGGCCTCCTCTGTGGGTCTGGGGTGGAGTGGGAGGGCTGGGGTTGCATCGCCCTCCTGCCCCTCGATCCGCACAGGACGAGGTCGGCATGGACATCGACGAGTTGTTCAGCGAGGGCGAGGGCGGCGACGGCGGCGGCGAGGTTCCGCTGCCGCCCGAGGCCCCTATGCCACCGCCTGTTTTTCCGTTGCCTCCGCCCCCGCCTCCTGTCTCTCGGGCCTCCCGCTCAGAGGTGGGGTCGCGGGCGAGCCGCGAGCCTGTGCAGCGTGCTGTCAATGTCCAGGGAAAAGGTACGATTGTGTATTACAGGAAAGGCAGGTGTTTCGAGGCCAGGTGCCATCGTGGCCATGGCCGCTGCACAATGAGCGCAGCAGCGTACGGCAGCGATCTTGAGAATTTGGCGGCGCAGGGCCGCCCACTTGGCTTGTTAGCATCGTGGGTTCTGGACCTTGGGGGGGTCTGTGACGACAAGCCGTCGCACAAAAACAAATTCGCACTCCTGACGCTGCGTCCGTACATGAGGCGGCGTGCTCGGGAGCTCCTTCGTGGCCTGCCAGGTGGTTTGGATCTCATGTCGAAGGAGCGCCCGCAGCGCCCTGGAGAGCCCGAGGAGCCAGAGGGATTGGCGTCCTCCCGATGAGCGATGAAAAAACGATTAAGGGGTGTGGGGGGGAGATGGAGGAGCAGGATGCCAGGGAACGGTGATGAGGGGGAAGAGCAGGGACAACCGAAATGAGGAGGGGGTGAGGCCCCCGCTTCCCTTATAGGTTGCCGTGCAAGAGGGGCGGCTGGGGCGACGATGGGCGAGGGGGGCAGGGGTCGACGTTGAGGCGGGGGCTCTCGTCTTAGCGCCGCGCACGCTCATCTTAAACATCCGCAGCAGACGCGGATGGAAGGCGGGCGGTTTTCAAATTGCGGCTCTCGCCTGAGCTCGTCTACAACTTGCATCAGCTACACTGATGGAGGGCGAGTGGCGTTCAAATTACGCTCTCGCCTTAATCTTGGCGCCGCGCAAACTCATTGTCAAAGCTTGCAGCACTTGCATTTCCCCCATCGCTGAACGGATCTGTCCGAGGTTTGGCGTGGCGACGTGCCCCGTGCCTGACAGCCTGGGCTTGGCAAGTTGGTGGGCAACGGTTCGAGGTGATTTGTCACCCCCATCTCCCCGTCTGGCGCCCTCTCTTGGCTTTCGCCGCCGCCCCTCTCCTCAGCTTCGTCATGTCTGGCCCGCGAGCTCATGCATCTCAGACTCCGTCCTGCGGTAAGTGCAGTCATCATTGCCGCGCTGGCGCATCTTGGAGCGCCCTTTGGGGCGATGAGGACCCCCCTGTGCACTGTGGCGGCGGCTGCGGCGACGGCGGCGACGACAGCGAGTGTGATAAGGGTGACAGCGGCGACGACGGCGACGACGACGGCCCTTCGGCCAGTCGGTGTGGCTGGGGCGCCATGGGGTGCTCCTGGAGGTCTCCCCATGGGGGGGGCCTTCTGTGCCCTCAGACTGTTTCGAGACTCCCCTGGGAGACTCTTTTGGCACCGAGACTCTTCTTGAGACTCCTCCTGGGACTCCGCTGGACTGCGAGACTCTTTGTTGGTGCCCTCTCGGGGGCAGCTGTTCGAAGGATTCGGATGGAGACTGTTTCGAGACTTTTTCGAGACTCTGTCTGAGATTATTTCCTGTGTTTTTTTTTTTGCGCGTCCTGGGGGCCTGGCACGGGGGGGAGGGCGGCGGTCGCAAGGGGACTGTTTTGATATTTTTTGGAGACTGTTTTGGGACGTGTTGGTGCCGTTTTTGGCCAGGAGGCTGTTTTGAGACTGTTTTGAGACTGTTTTGGGACTATTTTGGGACTGTTTGGGGGTTTGGGGAGCCGTTCAAAAAGTACAGAAAAAGCATCGAAAAAGTTTCGAAAAAAAGTCTCGAAACAGTCTCCCGCGCCGACCCCCCCCCAAAAAAAATATACAAAAAGTATCAAAACAGTCTCGAAATAGTGTTTTGGGAGAGTCTCAGAAGCGATTTGGGCACCCGCCGCCCTATTCCCAAGAGTCTCAAAACAGTCTCACAACAGTTTCAAACAAGTAGCTAAACAGCGCACTGCGAAACACACATGAAAACACAGCTCCCCGAAAAGTCTCGAAACAGTCTCAGGGGGGGGACTCTTCAGACCTTCAGCTGCCCAAACAGTGCCAGGGGGGGGGCTCTGAGGACCCCCGCGTGCCCAAAGAGTGTCCAAAGAGTGTCCCGAGAGGGCGCCGAGAGGGGCCGCGAAGAGGGTCAGTTCCCGCGACGTTGGACCCTCGTGGGGAGCCCTTGGGGCCCTCTTGGGCCCCATTGGAGCCGCATCGTTCCCATGTTGGGTCCCTCTTAGGCCCCTGGGAGGGCTCTGAGAGGGTTCAGAAAGGGCACCCATATGCCCCAGAGGGTGCTCCAGACGCGGAGGGCCAAGCAATAACATATGTGTTTGGGTTTCTGGCATCAACGCCATCCTGGGCCCCTCGCGGGGCC